GGGGCCCAGGGGGGAGGCGCGGCGGGGCCTAGCTAGGGGACAAGCGGAAGCGGTAGGTGGGGGATCCTAACCTACGCGTGATACCATATCAGAATGAGAGAAGTGAATGATGAGTAGTGGGAGAGTACAGATAGATATACCTAAGTAGTGTACCCTCTAAGAGGTGACCCTATACAGTCTATGCAAACATAACTAATACAATGTTTGACATATAGTTGTATATGTTATAGGCTATATAAGTGCATGCTCATAGAGGGTACAGCACCGTAGCACAAAACCTCTATGTATGGCACAATCTAGTTCACTGCGTTATTCTAACACGTCATTTTGCCTAAGGTCCAGTCACGCCCCTCACACCTGTATCAGAAATTCAAGTGTTGATCATAGAGAGAGAGTACACACAATATAGCTAAGTGTTGTACCCTCTAAGAGGCTACCCTATACAGTCTATACAAACATAACAAATACACATGTTTGACACACCCCCTAGACTGCATAGGGGAAAGTCCTAAACAAACAGCTCAGGGCGGCACTACTAGTCCAACCTCTGAGACAAGGGTCTGAGCGACCAGTCAGAAGGAGTACAGACAAGGCAAGCACAAGAACAGGGCGGCACTACTAGTCCAGCCACTGGGAGAGGACACAAGTCCAGTCTGAGTATACATATAAAGGACAGTACAAAGTCAAGGTCCTAGGAAGTGAGAGGCTACAGGAACTAGACCAAGCTGTACACAGTGCCGCTGATGATCTTTAGGCGCAAGCGCCTTCGTAAAGATATCAGCCGTGTTGGCACCTGAGGCCAAGTGTACTACGCGAGCCTGTTGTCGCTGCTGTAGCTCACGCAGGAGGAAGTACCGCAGCTGAATGTGCTTCGCTCTGCCCTCGAGTCGAGGCTCCTGACACAGGAGGATCATGGCCCTGTTGTCAGCGAACAGGACCGGGGCAGAGCTAGGCCGCTCACCTAAGTCAGTGAGCAAGAAGGTCAGCCAGCGGAGCTCCTGTGCCGCCATGGCACCGGCGTAGATCTCAGCCTCACAGCTGGACTGTGCAACAGACGAGGAGCGGGTAGCTCTCCACGAGACGGCCCCTGAGCCAAGGCTGAAGCAGTAGCCCTGGGTAGACCTGAGTGTCTCAGCGTCGTCTACCCACGAAGCGTCTGTGTGCCCAGTAAGGACCACTGGCCTGCGTCCTCCTAGCACTAACCCCATGCCCGATGTACTAGCAAGATAACGCAGAACCCTCTTAGCGGCAGACCAGTGCTGCGGTCGGTGTCTGCCTGTGGCCACAAAGCGAGCCAGGATGCTGAGAGGGTATGCGAGATCTGGGCGAGTCCAAGTCATCAGGTACATGAGGCAACCCACCAGCTCTGCGTAGGGGCCGCTGGGCTCAACCGACTCCTCAGACACTGGAGCGGAGAGTCTGTGGTCTACAGGCAGAGGGGTGGGCTGTGCAGAGGAGAACTGAAGGCTGAACCTCTGAAGGACCTGGCACACCAAGTGTGCCTGAGTCAGGGTGATGGTGCGCGCAGCTCTGTCCCTGGAGATCTGCAAGCCAAGGTAACGGCACAGTTCTCCAAGGTCAGTGCAGGTGTGTCTCTTCAGCAGCTCTGCCTTCACGGAGGCCAGCGCGTCACTGTCTCCTGTGGCAAAGACCAGGTCGTCGACGTAAACGAGGATGTAGAACGGAGTCTGGCCAGCACGAACGAAGAGTGAAGGGTCTGCAGACGACGGAAAGAACTGCAGGTCAGCAAGCGTAGCACGGAGAGTGTCGTGCCACTCACGGGGAGCCTGGCGCAGGCCGTAGACGGGGCGCCGCAGGAGCCACTGGGTCCCAGGAGGGAAGGTGCCAGTAAAGCCCGGAGGGCGGCGCAGGTAGACCTGCTCGTGTAGGCTGCCCTGAAGGAAGGCAGTGGAGAAGTCGAGGGAGTGAAGCTCGTAGTCACGCTGAGCAGCGAGGTGTAACAGAACCCGAAGAGTAGTCATCTTCGGGGTCGGAGCGAAGTCTTGAAGAAGTCCACCCCCTCGCGCTGACTGAAGCCTCTAGCCACATTGCGCGCCTTGAAGACAAGCGGCTCTCGAGGAGGGCGCTTCACCTTGAAGAGCCAGTGGCCATCGACTACGTTCACCCCAGGTGGGGGAACTGCGTCGACGAAGGTGCCGGTGGATCTCCAAGATGCCATCTCGTGCTCCATGGCAGCTATCCACTGCGAGGCCCAGGGTCCCGAAGTCGCCTCAGCGTAAGTGCGAGGGGTCGGGATGTCGAAAGCGTCTGGGTCACCCTCAGGGACTAGCAGCATGGAACAGAGATGGGGAGCAGCCTCGGACAGGAAAGCAAGCTCGAACTGGTGGTCCTCCAGGACGTCACTGCCAAGGGCAGGAGCACCCCCGACAGACGGAGGACAGGCAGGGTCAGAGACCAGAGCTGTGGCGTAGTCAAGGCGGCGGGTAGAGGCGAAGTCAGCGACCGCAGCTACAAGAGCGTCAAGGCACGAGACCGGAACAGACGGGTCGGTAACGAGAGAGGCAAGGACCCGGGGAACAAGAGGACGAGCGGCACGAAGGTAGTCAGACAGCGGGGGGGGTGCAACAACAAGGGAGGACGGAGGAGGCGACGGCAGAAGGGGAGGACGAGACGCGTGGGAACGAAGCAACATAGGGTGGGAGCGCAAGACAGGCGAGGCAGGACGAGCGCGGGAGGGACGGTGAGACCAGACGTGGACGGAGGAGTCGGTCAGGAGACAGGGGAGGGGACACAGGAGGGGAACGAGGGGGAGACGGGCCGGGGACGAGTCCGGCGGAGGGAAAACAGGGCCGTAGACAGGAAGAGGAGGAGACGGTCGGGGAGGAACCGACGCAGGGTCGGGGACGGAAGGCCGAGCAGGCGAAGGGCGGACACCGGCGGGGACTGCTGCTGCGGCGGCACAACGGCGACACCTGGACCGCAAGCTGCTCCTCGGCTACCACTGGCACTCTCCACACCCGCACCCCCAGAGGGACCACCCCCAGGGCGACCGGGACGAGCACCCCCAGAGTCAGCGAACGGGGGCTGCAACGGCGGCGGCGGCGATGGCGACCACGGCGGGCGGCGGAGGGGGATGGAGGAGGGGACACCGGGGAGGGGCGGCCGGCGAGGACTGCGCAGCAGGGCCACCAGAGTCAGAAGACTCCTCAACCGGGTCCACCGACGGAAGGGGGGTGACGTGGGACACACCAGAGGGGGCAGGACGGGGAGGAGGAGGCGGAGGGCAGGGACTACCGGGGAAGGGGTGACCAGGACGGGGGGGGGTAACCGGGGGACCCGGTGGGGGAAGCGACGGTAGTAGGAGACGGACTCGTCAAAGGTGACGTCACGAGAGTGAAAGAACCGGTGAGACGGGGGTGGTAAAAGTGCCAGTTGGACGCGTCAAGGGGAAAACCGAGGAAGACGCAAGGAAGGGTGCGGGCAGTGAGCTTGTCCGTGCCGGAGGCACGGACGTGAGCAAGGCAGCCCCATACGTGGAACGCAGACGCATCACCAGGAGACCCAGTCCAAAGACGGGTCGGCGAAACCTGCGGCTGTTGAGGGTGCGGCCACAAGTTAAGCTGGTGAGAAGCGTAGCGCACAGCGAATGGCCACAGAAAATGGGGTGCACCGGCATGGATCATGGAGGTGCGAGCCACCTCCATGACCAAACCGATGCGTTGCTCGGCGACCCCATTCTGCTGTGGGGAGTCCGATAGGGTGAACGTCTGGGTGATGCCCTCCGCACGACAAAAGCAACCAAGAACACCTGAGGCAAACTCGCCACCACGGTCGGAGTGAAGACACAAGACAGGGAGACCGTGGTGGACACGCGCAGAGACAAGCCAGGGGATGAGAGCGCCAGGCACGTCGGCCTTACGCTCCAGGGGAAAGACTGTGGTGTAACGAGTGAAGTCATCGACAAGGACAAGGAAGTAGCGCTCTCGACGCGGCCCAGGGACGGGGGCGGGGCCCCAGACGTCCAGGTGCAGGGTCTGCAGCGGCGCGGCAGTAGGTGGAAACGAGGAGGAGTGAGGGGCACGGCGAAGCCGACCCTCGACACAAGGCGTGCAAGGTGGGGCTGGGGAGGAGGGAAACGCAGGGAGAGAACCTGGGAGACCAAGGACAAGACCGTGCTGGGACATGTGACGCAGACGCGGGAGCGCAGGGTGACCTAGACGGTGGTGCCAAGGGAGAGTCGGGTGAGTGAGGGACCGACAGGAGCAGGCAGCAGCAACCTGGGTAGACGCAGCCACCTGAGGGGGCGCTCCAGCCGGGGGGGTCACGGTGTCCAGAGTGAACAGGCCGGACACCGGGTCCCGGGGGAACGTGGACAGGGGGGCACCAGTGGCGGCCTCGGTACAGACAGCATACCGCTCGTGACCAGGGAACGTAGTGGTGACGCCAAGGTCCTGGAGGCAGCCGACACCAACTAGGTTCCTGGAGAACGAGGGGATATGCAGACCTGTGAGAGAGCCCGAAGGAACCGCGGGACAGGGAAGGGTGGTGGAACTGCGGGCGACTACCGGACCACCGGAGGGGTCAGCAAGAGAAATGGCAGCAGGAACAGGAAGCGGCGTCAGTGTAGTGGCGTCGCGGAAGAAGCACCGGGAAGCGCCAAAGTCCAAGGTGAAGGAAAGCGAAGCTGTCACAGGATCGAATGTGTCGAGGAAAGGTTGCACTATCGATCAGTACAAGGCGCTTTTATACTTCCAGAGTACATCAGGTAACCAGGTTTATCTTATCCTAAGGGAATAGACCCTTCTAGAAGATAGAATCACCCTGCGTATAGCCACGCGAGGCTATTGGCTTTAAGGGATTACGGCAGGATTACGCTAGATATAGCACACCAGTACATCCCAAGCCTGGTCGGTGATATAATTATAATAGCAGGATAAACCAAAGGATAATGGGAAAGGAAGAATAGGAAACCAAATGAGATGCGGTAAAAAGAGAAATGAAAAGGGAAGAAAAGGCCAAGTGGTGTAACGGGGTCGTACTCTCACACTTCCCCCCCTCAAAGCTGGGTGGTAGAAGTAACACCCTGCTTGACAAGGTAGTCATGCAGAGGACGACGGGCGTTACCCATGTCGGACTCAGGTACCCAGCTGTCCTCAGAAGGATCATAACCCTTCCAACGAATGAGAAGCTCCACGGTGCCATTCCGACGACGGCGGTGTGCGAGCACAGACTCGACCTCGTACTCGGGTTCATTCTGGACGAGGACGGGCGGTGGCGGCGGCGGTTGGCGTCCGACGAAAATTGTGTTCGGGTCCCGATAGGGCTTCAGAAGTTGGACGTGGAAGGCGTTGTGAATCTTCCAGGTAGCTGGCAGGCGTAAGCGGAAGGTAACAGGAGTGACCTGTGCTTCAACGAGAAAAGGCCCGCAGAAGCAAGGTCGAAGTTTAGATGGGAGATGGCTGATGTCCAGGTTGCGGGTGTCGAGGAGCACCTGGTCTCCCACGGAAATGGTGTGGTCGTTGCGATGGCGATCGGCCTGGCGCTTCTGTTGCTGTTGAATGTCAAGGAGGCGCTTATGGGTCCGATCCCAAAGTTGATGCATGGTTATGATGAAGTCATGTGCTGGTTGGACTGTAGCTGATGCTGTCGGTTTTTGTGGTGTGAGTGGGTGGCGTCCGTAGCAGAGGAAGAACGGCGTCTGTCCAGTAGCGGCATGTGTAGCATTGTTGTAAGCAAACTCTAGTACGGGCAGGTGCAAGTCCCATTTGGAGATGTCGTCCTTGCAGGCTGCTCGGAGGAGTTGCTCAACAATTTGGTTAAGGCGCTCGGTCTGTCCGTCTATCTGCGGATGGTAAGCGGATGACATGGCGAGTTTGGTCCCGAGGAGAGACATAAGTTCCTTCCAGAACTTGCTGGTGAACTTAGGGTCTCGGTCGGAAATGAGTGTGGTTGGGATGCCATGCAGTGAGATGATGTGACGAACGAAGAGCTGTGCTGTCTCCTCGGTGCGTGCCGTCGTGTGTGTCGGGATGAAGTGTCCCATTTTGGAGAACTTGTCAATGACGACAAAGATGGCGTCATGACCGCTGGAGGTAGGTGGTAACCCGGTGATGAAGTCCAGGCTAACCACTTGCCATGGTTGTTCTGGGACAGGAAGAGGCTGCAGTAGTCCCGCCTTTTTCTGCTTGCTGCTCTTCATCCGCTGACATGTATCACACGAGGTGACGAATTTCTGGACGTCGTCTGCCAGATGGGGCCAGTAGTAGTGTTTGGCGATACCGGTGAGCGTCTTGTTGCTACCGAAGTGTCCGGCGTACAGGACGTCGTGGTATTTTTCGAGTAGTAACTGGCGCAAAGGAGGGTACGCGATTACTACTGAGTAGTATCTGGGTACCCAGATTTTCGTTGACCCTTTCCGGTACGCGATGTCACTATCCCACTGTAGCAGATGTCGCTTTTCTGCCAAGGGAATTTCGGGGTCGATGGCGTACCCGTGGGTGAAGAGTCCCTTGAGTAGTGGATTCATCCCTTCGACCTGAATAGCGGCAACGTGTGCAGGCCGGCTGAGAGCGTCTGCTTTGTTCTTGTGGCCGGGCTTGTACACGATGTCGTAGTGGAAGTGTGTCTCGAGGAAGTCGATCCACCGGACCTGCCGCCTGGAAAGGTTGGGTTGTGTCTTCAAATATTTCAGGCTGCAGTGGTCGGTGTAGACGGTTGTTCTTCGTCCTTCGAGATAGCATCTCCACGCTTTGAAGGCGATGATGATAGCAAGTGCCTCTTTGTCGTGTATCGGGTAGTTGAGTTCTGCCCCGTGCAGTTTCTTGCTGAGGTAGGCAATTGGTTGCACTCCATTCCCTTGATCTTGCATCAAGACTGCTCCCACTGCCTGGTCGTTGGCGTCAGCTTCGATTACGTAGTCGCGTTTGGGATCTGGCAGGATGAGTACCGGTGCGGACGTAAGTGCTTGTTTCAGCTGCTCCACGGCTTCCTGGTGCTTTGGTTCCCATTTGTAGGGCGTGTTCTTCTTCAGCAGATTCGTGAGTGGTGCTGCGATTTTCGCATACTGTGGCACGAACCTGTTGTAGTAATTAGCGAAACCTAGGAACTGCTGCAACTCCTTCACGTTCTCGGGTGTCTTCCGCGTGCGTACGGCCTCGATTTTCTTGGGGTCGACGTGAACTCCTTGAGCGCTCGCCATGTGTCCTAGAAATTGGACCTTCTCCAGGGCGAATTCGCTCTTGGACAGTTTGACGTAGAAACGTTCCCGTCGAAGAATTTCGAAGACGCGTCGCAGGTGTTCGACGTGCTGCTTCATGCCGCGCGAGTAGATGAGTATGTCGTCCAGGTACACCACCACGCATTCGTCCAGAAGTGGTCGTAGAATGTGGTTCATTTCGGCTTGGAACATTGCCGGCGCGTTGGTGAGTCCGAACAGCATGACCAAATACTCGTACGATCCGTAACGAGTTCGAAAAGCAGTTTTGTGGATAGAGTTGTCCGCCATCCGTATCTGCCAGTATCCGGACCGCAGATTCAGTTTGGAAAATACCGTAGCTCCCCGAAGCTGGTCAAGCAGGTCATCGATTCGCGGTATCGGATACTTATTCTTGATGGTCTGCTTGTTAAGAGCTCGGTAGTCGATGCACATGCGCAGGCTTCCGTCCGGTTTCGGTGTGAAGAGTACTGGGGCACCGTACGGCGAAGTGGATGGCCGGATGAGTCCTTTGGCTAGGAGATACTCGATCTGTTTTTTCATGTCAGTCAGCTCCGTAGGGCTGAGCCGATATGGTGCTCGGAAGGTCGGCTTCGAACCCGGTTCCTCCACGATCTCGTGTTGATGCGTTCGGTATGGCGGTAGCTCGTTCGGAAGATCGTCCGGAAGAATATCTTGGAACTCCTTCAGTAATTCCTTGATTTTTTCTGGAGTTTCCGAGGCTTTCCCTCCGTCATTCTCCACCTCTGTTGCTATCGCCAGGAACCCGGTGTCGGTCCGCTTCATGTCCTTCTCGAATCGTGCGAGTGTCTCCACTGGGATATCTCCAGTATCGTCCCAGTTGGGTAGCTGTACTCTCCGTCCATTGTTGTAGATGCTTGCGGTGCGGTTCACCCAGTTGATCTCGGGGTTGAATCTTTTCAGGAAGTCTCGCCCGAAGATCAAGTCAAGCCCTTTGATGTTGGTGATGGGGAGTGCAGGTCTCCAGCGCAGTGGTCCAATTTGTAGGTGTAGCACTGCTTCGCCGTGTACTGGTAACTTGCTGCCGTCCACCATCGTTGCAGAGAATCCTGAAGGCTTGTACTCTTCCCGAAGTCGGTCGATTACTGCCTTGTCGCAGACGGTGTGTGATGCTCCGCTGTCCACGAGTGCTTGGAGGCGTCGTCCTTTGCAGATGACCTCGAGCACGAGGGGCAGTCGTTGCTCGGAGTACCCAAAGATGGTTTCATTGATTGGGTCATAGGGTACATCCCAATATTCTGTACACACCTTTGTGTTGCTGTCTACTCCTGAGCTGGCAGCTGGCCGAGGCTGCTTGGAGAACGGCTCTTCTCCAGGGCCCGGAGTTTCCCTGGCGGCTGTGCGCGTCACTGATGCCGAAGAACTGGATGCATCCGTAGGAGGAGTTCGGGGTTTGTGCAGCTTCTTGTAGACCCCCAGCTTCCTCTTGAGCTGCTTCAGCTCCACCGACGTCTTCCCTGGGGAGCGGGTAGTCGTTGTGGGCTGGTGTCGGGAGAGGACGTTGACTCCGTGGAAAGGTCGGCTTCTTTCCACACTCCTTAATTTGGTCCCCAGGTTGTCCGGTACCGGTATAATCTCCACAGCTGTCTGCTTCTTTTGGAGTCCCTCCCGAAATTTCTCCAAGGCTCTAGCCCCTCGAACATCATAAGTTTTCATTAAAGCATCTCTATAAGATAGCTTTAACGAATTCTTATAATTTCTTGGGTCTTCAAGGAGTTTCCCTGTCTCGGCAGAGTCTTTTTTCGCGGAGTCGTATTTTTCCTCGGCGATTTTCCCTGGCGAAGACTGGTCGTGGGGTGGAGATTTTCCCCCATCATTTCCTCCTTCTCGCGTCGAATCAGCTTCGTCGAAGTTGATTTTTCCGGAATCCCGCGGCCGTTTTCGGATCTTTTTATTTTCGCCAGCTAGATCCGCAATCACTGGCGACTCCCGTTTTTTGTCTTCTGATTGGCCGAAAGATTTCCGCCACTGTTGCGTGCCCGATACTCTGCGCGTGCGGCCTTCATTTTGTTGCAGTCGAAGATTCGGTGGCCCGGCACCCCGCAAAAATCACACGTGTAGTTGGTGTTTTTCGGACGTGGCCGCCCCTCGAATCTGTCGACTTCCATCGGGTCGGCGAACGTGGTGTGAGCCGAGCGGTCGCCTTGTCGCGTACTGCCGACGTGCGTCCGTCGTGTTCCGGCGTTGACCATGTCGAAGCGCTCCGCGGCCGAAACAACATCACTGTAGCTCGCGTAGTTTGACGCTGCGACTTGTCGTTTGACTTCGGTCTTCAGCCCTGCGAGGTACGATTGCACTTTTTCCCCTTCGGTCAAGTCGGGAATGCGGTTATAAAATTCCTCCATCTGCTGCGTGTACTGCGCTACACTCCCGAACTGTCGGTGGCGATGAATTTTTTCGCGGGCAAGGAAACCTGAATTTATCGGCTCGAATCGTTTGAGCAGGTCGGTGCGGAACTGCTGCCACGTGGCTTCACCGTGGATGAAGGTGCTGTTGCCGCCAATCCACTCGAGTGCCGGCCCTCGCATCAGTGTCGCCGCGAGTCGTACACGTTGACCGTCCCAGACTGGCGAGCTCCATCCGACGGCTGCGAAGTAGATCTCCATCCCGACGATCCATCTGCGGGCGTCGGTGTTTCGATCGCTCGGATCGAACGGCTCAGGTGGGCGCGGTTTTGGAGCCTCGAGAAATTGTTGCGACTGCTACGTCGTCGCCGTTGTCGTCTCGTGCTGCGCTCCGGCGAGTCGAGTTACTCGCTCGAACTGGTTTCGCCACGCTTCGCGATCCGCTCGCATTTCCTCCTGAAGGGCTGCGATGCGCGCGAAGAGCTGCTGGGTAACCTCGGCGTTGTCGAAGGTTGCCATCCTGTTCAAAACACGCACGGAGGGGGTAATTCGAAAATCGCGGAGCTGGTGCTTACCAAAATCGGCGTCGAATTGGTCGCCCCCGGCGGTTTTTCGAGGCAGGATCCCCGCTGCTGCTGCTTAGCTGAGCGCGGTCGAGTGAGAAAAGCTCTGATTACCAAGTGTCACAGGATCGAATGTGTCGAGGAAAGGTTGCACTATCGATCAGTACAAGGCGCTTTTATACTTCCAGAGTACATCAGGTAACCAGGTTTATCTTATCCTAAGGGAATAGACCCTTCTAGAAGATAGAATCACCCTGCGTATAGCCACGCGAGGCTATTGGCTTTAAGGGATTACGGCAGGATTACGCTCGATATAGCGCACCAGTACATCCCAAGCCTGGTCGGTGATATAATTATAATAGCAGGATAAACCAAAGGTTAATGGGAAAGGAAGAATAGGAAACCAAATGAGATGCGGTAAAAAGAGAAATGAAAAGGGAAGAAAAGGCCAAGTGGTGTAACGGGGTCGTACTCTCACAGAAGCAGAGGCGTCTGGCGTGGGGTCGACGGCGGAAGCACCAAGACTAAACAAAGCAGGGGATCCTACGCCTGACGCAGCAGGGGAGGCTAAGCTAGGCACACCTACACTAGATGATAGTGAGTAATAAGCGGGAAGCACACTAGAGTCATCAGCATACATCACATGCAGAGCAGCAACAATGGCATCCATGTCCAAGTCAAAGATCGGAATACTACGTCTAAGCATGCTGTGCCAGTCCGGGAGGTCTGGCGACGGGCCGAAGCGCTGACGGAACAGGTCGTCTAGGCGACGAAAACAGCGGGGAGTGGAATGACCGATGTTACCGCAAACGAGGCCACGGCGAGAACCGGTCTGGATCTGGTACTGACAACGCACGCCCCCGGAACCACCACTCGGTACACCACCACGCGCCCGACCACCGCCAGCGCCGGGCCACCCAGGCGGGAGGACACTCGTCTGCCTCGGCTGCGGCGGCTGCTGCGGCTGCTGCGAAGGCTGCGGCTGCTGCGACTGCGGCGGCTGCTGCGGCTGCGGCTGCTGCGACTGCAGGGGCAGCGGCTCAGCTGGACTGGGCAGGGTACCCTCGTCCGCTCCAGCACCAGACGACCCGACTCCACCACCACCCCCTCCAGCACCCCCGCCTCCTCCGCCGCGCCCAACCTTGGGGCGGCGGCCCTTCCCCGAACGAAACTGCGTTGCAGCAGCAGTCTCAGCCACAGCGGCAGAGCCGTCGGAGAAGGTACACTGAGCGGACACAACCCTGAAAGATGGGGACCGGCACGGTACCGCTCGCCTGGGCGATGGAGCGGTGGCGGGTCTCAATCACAGTCAGGGTGTCGACAAAGTCAGTGAGGGTGAGGTCTGCGGGGTGAATGCTAAGGAAGCGGTCGCGGGCGACAGCAAGGCGGTCAGGGAGGCGGGTGGCAAGCAGGTAAAGGGTAGAGGTAATGGGCGGCTGGTGGGCTCTAAGCTGTGCGTCAGTGCAGGCAGCGCGCCAGGTCTCATCTATCGAGCGCAGGTGGGCAGCGAGGTCAGAGACAGTGGGGAAAGATGCAAGGTCAGGAAAGAGCATCGGGAGGATCAGGCGACCCACCGAGGCAGCCGGAGGGGTGGAATAGCGCGTGATGACAGCATCTAAGTAAGCCTGAGCAGTAGTGAGGGACCTAAAGCGAGGGCGCTCGGACGGGGGAAGGGCGTTGCTAATGGCAAGCTGGGCGACAGCATCGTGAGAAAGCCACACAGAGCGCGCACGGGCAGTGGCAGCAGTAGACTCGCGCTCAGTGGGTGTGGGGTCAGCGGGCAGAATAGCAGGGGGGTCTGGGCAGGGGAGCGTACCGTCAAGGTGTGCGGAAAGCGGTTCACCATCCTGCCGCTGGCCAGTGAGTTGGCGCCGGAGGTCGGCAAGCCACGCCTCGAACTCCAGAGGCTGGCCTTCAGCGTCGAAGCGAAGCTCCGCCGCCATCAGGGGCAGGGCAGGACGGGACAGTACGGGGCAGTGAAGTGCAGTGCAAAGCAGAGCAGTGCAGGGCGGTGTAGCGCGGGGCAGGGCAGTGTAGGGCGGTGCGGGGCGGTGCAAGGCTGTGCAGTGCGGTGCAGGGCAGTGCAGGGAAGGGGGGGGGGGGGGGGGGGGGGGGGACCGTACCAGTGAGGAAGGGGCCGGGGCAGGGAGGAGCGCAGGGGCCGGGCAGGGCGCAACGGGGCCGGGCGGGTGCGACGGGGCCGGGCCGGTGCGACGGGGCCGGGCGGGTGCGACGGGGCCGGGCCGGTGCGACGGGGCTGGGCGGGTGCGACAGGGCCGGGCGGGCGCGACGGGGCCGGGCAGGCGCGACGGGGCCGGGCCGGTGCGACGGGGTCGGGCAGGTGCAACGGGACCGGGCCGGTGCGACGGGGCCGGGCGGGTGCGACGGGGCCGGGCGGGCGCGACGGGGCCGGGCAGGTGCGACGGGGCCGGGCAGGTGGGACGGGGCCGGGCAGGGCGCGACGGGGCCGGGCAGGGCGCGACGGGGCCTGAAGGCTGGACGGGGCCCAGGAGGGGCGCTACGGGGCCCAGGAGGGGCGTAGCGCGGCCCTAGAGGGGCACTACGGGGCCCAGGAGGGGCCGAGGCGGGGCGCGACGGGGCCGGGCAGGTGCGACGGGGCCGGGCAGGTGCGACGGGGCCGGGCAGGGCGCGACGGGGCCGGGCAAGGCGCGACGGGGCCTGAAGGCTGGACGGGGCCCAGGAGGGGCGCTACGGGGCCCAGGAGGGGCGTGACGCGGCCCTGGAGGGGCACTACGGGGCCCAGGAGGGGCCGAGGCGGGGCGCGACGGGGCCTAGGAGGGGCGCTACGGGGCCCAGGAGGGGCACTACGGGGCCCAGGAGGGGCCCAGGGGGGGGCGCGAAGGGGCCCAGGAGGGGCACTACGGAGCCCAGGAGGGGCCCATGAGGGGCGCGACGGGGACCAGGAGGGGCGCTACGAGGCCCAGGAGGGGCGTGACGCGGCCCTGGAGGGGCACTAAGGGGCCCAGGAGGGGCCGAGGCGGGGTGCGACGGGGCCCAGGAGGGGCGCTACGGGGCCCAGGAGGGGGGTCGCGACAGGGCTGGGGGGTCGCGACGGGGCCCAGGGGGTCGCGACGAGGGCTAGGGGGTCGCGAAGGGGCCCAGGAGGGGTGCAGCGGGGCTAGGGGCACGACGGGGCCCAGGGGGTCGCGACGGGGCTAGGGGGGAGGCACGGCGGGGCCTAGCTAGGGGACGAGCGGAAGCGGTAGGTGGGGGGATCCTAACCTACGCGTGATACCATATCAAACTGAGTGAAGTGAATGTTTTGGATAGAGGGAGAGTACAGATAGATATACCTAAGTATTGTACCCTCTAAGAGATGACCCTATACAGTCTATGCAAACATAACAAATACACATGTTTGACAACAAAAGCAGGCCGGGCAAACTGCGAGCCGCAGAACTAGCGCGGGCACGCAATCCTCCAGGAGTTGTGCGTGGTTGTGCGTGGCCATGTCTAGCAGGCTGTCCAGATCGGCCATCATGCTAAGCATAGCCATGTAGAATCCGCAAGTAACATCGCTGTGAGGGAGAAGTGCATTCCCAAGGTGCGACAAGCGGGGGAAACAGCCGCTGCCATCGCAGTGGATGGGCACTCGAATTGTTGGTGGTCGAAAGGTCGGTTTCCCAGTAGTAAGGGGCTGCCGCTTGGCGCACCCTGGAAATGACGCAGCCAACAATACGCATGGAGTGTGTTCGCTTGCGTGGTTTCATTCAGCTAGGTAACTCTGGGTGGGGTCTGCGAACGGGTTCTCTGCCCGATGATCTGGTAACCATCATTCGAGATTCAAGTGCGCTTGGATGCTACAGTGTACATTTTCAGACGTTATTGAGCTCCCCGTGGCCTATTTCCATCACTCATAATTATTCTAATAGAAAGTATTGTATTTTTTTGCTGGAACTGGGATGCCGCTGGTGTGTGGTACGTGCTTAGCGCGTCATGCTCACATGGTGTCAACGTGACTGGAAGTCGGTGCGACTCGATTTTGCGCCTTGACTGTCGCATGCGCGATGCGCCTCTCAACCCCAAGCAGTCACACAGGACTCGACTGGAGCATGCAGCCAAGGCAAGCGCCCAAGTGTGTGTGCTGCCAGCCCGCCACCCCAGTTGTGTCACCCAACCAGTTGAGCACCTAATTGCTCCCAGCCTAGCACCTCAACTGCGCTCTCTGCTTCCACAGCTCTGAATCCATTCGCCTAGTTCGGGAGAGATTGAATCCACACGCAGCAGGAGCACGCATTGGCGCGGCAACCACCATGGCGTATCGGTGCAGTACGGTCTTCGTGAAGTGGATCAACGTCCTCACGCTGGTGCGGGCTCACTTCACTGCCGCTGTGTCGCCTCTCGCGCCTCCTGCTGCCGCTCGCTTTGCTCCTTCCCCGTCCCTCACCCCCACGACACGCCACCCAATCATCCCGCTTCGCCGACTCACTCACTCACCACCCTTACCTCCCTCGCACGCTGCTCTTCTTCGCCTCCATCCGGCCGACATTCGCCCCTGATTCCCTCACCCAACCTTATATCTCATCCATCTTCGTCTATTCCCCGTCTCCCGTCCCTCATCCCCGCTCGTCCGCGGCTGGGCGTGCAGGTGTTGGGAGTGGTGCTGCTGGCGACGGCGGGCGTGCTGTACTCGAAGCAGCCCACGGCGTGCCTCGCCTTCATCCAGGCGCCGCTCATCGCGCTCGGCCTCCTCGTCTCCGTCGTGTAACCCCCTCGCTCCACGCCTCCCGCCCTGGCGCCCCCTTGGCCTTTTCCCCCGTCTTTGTCGCTCGACTCGTTCTTCGCCCCTGGTTCTCCCCATCCGCGATCTAGACGTGTTATTCAACTGCATTCAATCGTCGCACGCCCCATGCCTCCCCGTTTCTCCCCGCCTCCTCTTCCAACACCTCTCGCTGGCAGTTCACTGCTGGGGCTGCTTGGCACGGCATGCACGTCGTCCTTCCTCCTCTGGATCGTAGGTCCACCCTCCCCCGCTTCCCCGTCTCCCTGCCCCCACCCCGTCCATCGCATGCCGTCGCCGCTTCGCATAGTCGTCGCCGCTTCGCATAGTCGTCGCCCTCCATTCGCGCTCCCTCCGCGCAATCTCGTCTTGCCCTTGCCCCTCGCACCACCCTCTCATTCGCGCCTCTCTCCTTCCATGCGCTGCTCGTTTTCTTGCCACACGTGCGACCGAATCTTATGAGCGTGTGTGTTCCTCCCTGCATGCGTGTGTGCGCCCGCCTTGCGTGCGTGCCGTGCGTGTGTGCGCCCCCCTGCGTGCGTGTCCCCCTCGCAGTACATGGTGCTGCTGTCCTGCATCACGCTCGTCTTCCTTGCCTTCACCATCTTCTCGTACGCACCACCACCGCCAGCCCACGCCCCCTCGCCCCCTCGCCCCCCGATTCTCCGCCATTCCTCTCGCTCGTGACACTTTTCCCTTCGCTGCTCGTGCTGCTCGCGACTGCTACTGCTCCCGCGCTCAATTCCCTCTCCCCCTCCGCGCCTCTCCCGCCCCTGGTTGTCTCTGTGCGCGTGCGCGTGGCGTGGCAGGTTCACAGTCAGCGACCCCGGGCACGGCACGCCTGTCAACGGCCTTGAGTGAGCCCCGCCGCCTCGCCGCTCCTCCTGCCGCGCTCTCGCCCTCACCTTTCTCTCGCTCGTCGTCTCGTTGTTGCTCGCGCCTTGGAGTCCTGTCTCGCCCTGCGCGCTGTCGCTTCACCCCCAACGTGCTCCTCGCCGCGATGCGTGTGCTGTGCGTGTTTCCCCCCCAGGTTCCAGCAGTACTACCTCGACAACTACTCCAAGTGGATGCAGTCCACAGTACGCACCCCCCCACCCTTGCCCCTTCTCCTCGTCTTCCCGTTTCTGTAGCTGGAGGCAGTTCCCAGCGATCGTGTCCGAAATTCCCTCAAAGTCCTCCTGCTCGTTTCGTGTTCCTACTGTTCCTCTCTACTTCCATGCCCGACCTGCCATCGTCCCCTCGCTCTTTGCACCGCGTGTCTACCCCCCCTTCCCCCGTTTTCCCCCCCTTCCCCCATGGCAGCTGCGCAACGCGGCGACGTGGCAGCGCGTGCAGTCATGCATGGTGGACTCGGCGTACTGTCAGCAGCTCAACCTGCGCTACCCGGTCAGTGCCGCGCGCACAACCGCGCACGCACGCACCCACGCACACCCGCGCACGCGCAGCCTCACACACGTATTACCACGCCCCATGCCGCCACGCTCCATGCCACCACCGCTCACAGAACGTGCACTCTGACAGACCCTAAACCCGCTGTTGTGCGCCCCTCGTGTCTCCCCCCTCCCCGCGCCCCCCATCCGCCAGGACCTCTCCCAGTACCACGCAGCGCAGCTCTCGCCCACGGAGTCGGGCTGCTGCCGCCCGCCCATCGAGTAAGTGCATCGTCTTAAGCGCCGTCGCGGCAGGTTCGATCAGCTGGTGTTGCCTGTGTGCGCGGCGCCCACGCTCTTATGTCCGCTGCAAAAGATTATGTGCTGAGCCTAGCCCCGAGCTGTGCTGTGCTGTGCTGTGTGCACAGCAGCGGCACCCGGGGACCACTGGGTCTCGTCAACGAGCACCATCTCGCTTTCTGCTTCTCTCTCCTCCGCCTCCCCTGCGCCATCCCCCCCTGACCTCACCTTCCCCCCTGTGTTGCGACCTGCCGGCAGGTGCGGGTACCGGCAGATGACGGCGACGATCTTCATGCAGGAGGGCCCGCCTCACAGCGACAACCCCGACTGCACCGCGTACAGCATGGCCAACGCCACCATGTGCTTCGCCTGCGACTCGTGCAGGCACGACCCATACACGCACGCACCTGCACTACCCGCATGTGCACCACGGAGCACCGTGCCGAGCACCGCACGGGCTTGCCGTCCTTGCTTGAACGCACCTTCTCTGCTCCCATTAGGCAATGCAGCCACAGGTGCACTTGGCTGTGGGCGATACACGGACATCGACGGACTTCATCCCGCTTGACTGTATGCCACTGGATGTGCGCGTGTGTGTGAGCAGGGCTGGCGTGGCGGAGTACGTGAAGCGGGAGTGGATGAAGGTGGGGTATCTCCTGCTCGCCTTCACCATCATCCTCGTAAGCCTCCTCCCCTTCGCTGCCCATTTGCTTCCCCTGCTGTCACTCTCTCGAGCGGGACTTGATTCTATCCGCACACCCGCGTGCGTGTGTGCAGACATCCATCTGCGTGTTCGGCTGCTGCGCCACGTACAACGTGGAAGTGGAGGAGGAAGAACCGCTCGAGCTGGAAATGCTGGCCAAGCCTACTCGCCACAAGTCCCGTCGCCGCGTAACATGGGCATAAGACGCGGGCATATCTTCCTTATACTAAACTCAGATGTAACATCAGAATGTGGGGGAAATAAACCGTCTGAAATCATTGGCTAGACTTGATCAATTACACTGATATGTATAATTGTGGGAGCGACCTGTGATTACAAGATAATGTTCATACTACATGTGCAGTGAGCTAGAAGAACAAAGAAAGATCAGCAAACGATCTGACAATCATGAACCTTCGAGCTTGGGGCATACAGCTTCCACCACTCAGTCCTGCAGCAGCAAAAACCGCACGTAACAGCAGGAGATCAAGGTGAGAATCTGGGCGAACGGGCTCAGCTGGGACCTCAGCGAGCTTGCTAGACACAAGGATAGACATCAGCACGCAACAGCGCACTAGTCAAGGACAGAAGGGGTTACAGAAAAGGGACAAGGGTAAGTGGAGAAGGGGAAAAGATCAGTGCCAAGGTATCAGATACACACAAAAAACAAAGAAAAAAAAACAAATGGCTAACGAAGGGATGTGCGGGAAGACCGCCAAGGAGAGATTCAGAGAACGTGTGAGGTGGTGCGGGGGAAAGAGGCGAACACTGGTGTAAGTCGCCAGCATCCAGGTATGGGAGGGTGGGCGGCATTAAGGGGTGTGAGTGCGAATGAGAAAGGGCAGGGGGGCGGATAGGAAGGGAGATAGCTGCAGAGAGGGGGAGGCGGGGTGCGGGAAGTGCCTTGCCTTGGATGAGATGTTGTTGGAGAGCCAATCCAGTCCTTCGTATAAACCTTCACCAGATGTAGCGCACGTGCTCTGAATGTACCTGTAATGAGACATCACCAGCCGACCATCAGGCATGAGCGTAGACAAATCGTAGATACTAATCGCGCTTTGCTTGAGACCGTTCCAGAACGTGCGACGAAGAATCAGTCAGCCGCTTACCACTTCCGCTGGCGCAACGAGTGCAGGCCAAGCTTATCCGTGATCTCCGCAGCATTCATGGCGTTGGGAAGGTCTTGCTTGTTCGCGAAGACCAGCAACACCGCGTCCCTCAATTCGTCCTGAGCCACATCAAGAGCGAGGAGGATGCGTGGAAGGCGATGAAGACAAAGGTATCTAAATTGGCGCGACGTCGTGTATGAGGAAAACCAGGAACTGACCTCGTTAAGCATTCTATGCAGCTCGTCACGAGCTTCCATCACACGATCCCTGTCGTTGCTGTCAACGACGAAGATGAGACCCTGCGTGTTTTGGAAATAGTGCCTCCAGAGAGGACGAATCTGCAGAGACAGCACACCCAGCCGTTAGCGATATTCAGGAGGCTCCTCATCTAAGCAAATGACAAAAGGAGAACACAGACGAACCTTGTCCTGACCCCCGACATCCCACACGGTGAAGCTGATGTTCTTGTACTCCACGGTCTCCACGTTGAACCCTGATAAGAGAAACGCGAATAGCCATGCGAAGGGACCACGTCAGGAGATTAGGGCTGGTCAAGTTACGGTGAAACTTGCGTCGTCGGCTTATATTACGAAGACAGGAAGAGTCTATATCGTACCGATAGTAGGAATAGTCGTCACGATTTCTCCCAACTTCAGCTTGTACAAAATGGTTGTTTTACCAGCAGCGTCAAGACCAACCATCAGGATGCGCATATCACGCTTCCCAAAGAACCGAGCAAAGAGCTTCGTAAAAGTGAGCCCCATGGCTGCGAGATGGACGGAGAGGAACCAGATCTGTGGGAGGGAAGGAGAACAAATCTGAACTGCAGGGTTAGGAGGAAGTCGTGGCTGTGATAAAACTGGGGAGGTGGGATGGTATCCGAGGTTGGATGGGAGACGAGCAGCAGCAAGTGGCGGAAAGCAGTGCGTTCGTGAACGTTGCAGGCGACAAATAATTTCGCTGGTAACCGTGGCGAGGGTGCGTCAAACTGCGACACTCGCCCAGGGGAGGAGACCTGGAAACCTCATCGCGAATCGCTGCTCGCGTGGAGTAAAGCCATTTGGGGACGCGCAGCGACCTGCCAAGCCCCGCGCAAATCTCCGACATCAGAGCAACCTGACACCACCCGCGCTCCCAGCGTCAGGGGCTCCAAGAGCAACCCTTCGAGGGTACACCGAATCATGCGATAGGATACCACCTGATGGGGTGTCCTGCTCATGCTAAAATTCTTTCTTGGAATAAAATACTGCAGTCTATCCAATTGACCTAATAACCTTAGGGTATGAAGAACATATTATCAAACAATGAATATATGCTTGCCTTATTGCTTGAAAATTGCTTCTTTAAAGCACTTGGTCCAAGATCAATCAAGATCAAAAGTCTTTGAGAGTTGGTCATCCGTCAATCCAACCAAAACTGGTTGGGTTACACCAAGACAATGCGAAGGACGGAAAACTTGAAACGACATAGAAGGACTGGCCAAGCTTGTGCCCACCACAGCGTGCGACCACGAGCAAATCCCCTGCTCGCCCAACCCAGTCCCAAGGCAAAATCAAAATACAAAGTGTCTGGTTGGGACTACCGTCAATGGCGCCAACAGGGCGCTACTAGAAAGCGTTTGCTTACGTGGCATTGCCAACTATGGCTAGTTCTGATTTAGTTCAAGAACCTACTATTGAAACCAAACCAGCTTATCAGCAGCACCGTAATCAATAGGCTTATACGGCGGGAAACCCGCTGTCCCGTCGACTCTCTCTCTCGCACGTTGTGCCTCTCCCTTCCCCTTACATCGTGTCTCCCTCCTCCGCGCCGGTGCTACTCCCTTCCCCTCCTTTGTTGATTTCCCTTGCCCTTCGTGCTTCCCTTCTCCCGTCGTGCTTCCCTTCTCCTGTTGCGCTTCCCTTCTCACTTCTCGCATCCCTTCTGACGTCATGCTTCCCTTCTCCTGTCGCGCTTCCCTTCTCCCATCGTATTTCCCTTCTCCCATCACTCTTCCCTTCCCCATCGCCCTTCCATACCTCGTCACTCTTCCTTTCCCCGTCACGGTGCAGTCGTCCACCGTGAGGCACTGGACAGGCGCGGGGGAGGCGATGGAGAGGCACAGGGGAAACAAGGATAGGCACGGGTGAAGCGAGGATATGCGTCCTCCTCTCTCTTTTCCCTATCCTCCTTTCAGCTTCCCTTTCTCCTCCTTTTTTTTTCCACCCCCTCTTTCATCCCCCTTGTCTCCCTCTTTCATCCCCCTTGTCTCCCTCTCTCTTCCCTCTCGTCTCTCTCTCTCTTCCCCCTCGTCTCCCTTTTCCCTCTCGTCTCCCTCTCTCTTCCCCCTCGTCTCCCTCTTTCTTCCCCCTCATCTCCCTCTCTCTCTCTTTCTGTCCCTGTCACAGGGGGGAACCCCTTGTAAGGTCCCTCCCCCGTCGCTAGGCCGTTGCTTGGGTGGACAACCCCCGCTCCCACCCCGGCTCCCATGGCATCTGCTTGCGTGGGTTCCTTATACTAGCTCGTATCCCCTCTTTGTGCTTCCATGTCCTACCCCTCAGCGCCCCCTCCCGCTCCGCCAACCTCAGCTTCCCCAGTCTATCTCCCCTCCTCCTCCATGTTCCCCCAATTCTCCTCCCTCCCTCTGCTGCCGGCCTCTCCTCTACCCCTCCCTCTCCCCCTTGTTCATCCATTACTACCAACCCCCTTCCTCCCTTACTCCCCACATGCTCCAATGCTCCCAACCTGCACCCATGTTCCCTCCGTGCACTCATGCTCCCTCCTCCCTGCCATTTTCTCAACTAATGCATTTCCTCTACACTACAATTTCCCCCACTCCCCGTCCTCTCCGTTTCTCCCTGTCTTCTTCTACTTTTCTCCCTGTCCTCCTTTCCGTTTCCCCCCTGTCCTCCTTTCCCTTTCCCCCTGTCCTCCTCTTCGTTTCCCCTTTTTCTCCTCTGCTCTGTCCCCCTCTCCCTACTCCTCGTCGTCAATCTCCCACTCCCTCATCGCTTCTCTACCATTTCCCCCTTTCCGTCCCCCTCTTCCCCAGTTCGTTTCCCACTCTCCTCCTCTCCCTTTCCACATCGGTCCTCTCTGCATTGATCCCTTCCCATTGCTACGTCCCCCTCTCTCCCCCCCCACTCCCCCTAGTCCCTCTCATCCCTTTCCAGACTTCCATTGCCCCTCCGGGTTTGCATTCCTCCCCCTTTCGTTCCTATCGAACCCCCCTCTCTTTCCTCTCCCTTCTCCTCCCCCATCCAGCAACCCCTCTCTTTAACTGTTGGTAAGTCCATACCCCCTAGCACCCCCTCTACCACCCTGGTCCCCCACTCTATCCCCTCAATTACCCCTCTCTTTCCCCGTCGCCGGGGGGGGGCCCTAGGGCAGCTCCCTTCCCCGTCGCTAGTCCCTTGCGCGCATTCCCAACACCTACTCCCACCCTGGCCCCCATGGCATCGCCCGGCATTCATTCCTGACCCCGGCTCCGACAGCCTCAGCTCCCCCTCTCTATCCGCCCTCCTCCACCTTTCCTCCCCTCAGCTCCTCGTCTCTTTCCCCTCGCGCGTCTCTGTCAACATATAATTTGTACTGTATATGTTATAGACCAGCTAGGTGCATGCTCATACAGTGATGGAAATAATTGTCCGGATGTTTTGCATTAAAGAGGGTTTTTTGGCATTCCGACCACTATACATAAAGCCTTAATGTTTAATGGCGGTACGCTTTGGGAGTGGCACATAGTGGATGTGTTGACGGTGATATAATCCATAATAGTACACTGGATCTAACTTAGTGTCAAAAGATATCCAAAGAGTCCATACGGACAATTGTTTCCCAGGACGAAGCGCAAACTTCCGAACAGCGTTTCTAGTACCTATTTCACCGACCCTTGGCCTTGATCACCTCACGCACCCTCCTAGGCATGTTATATAAGAGGTTAGTGCAAACCTTTGCAGGGATCTTTTCACACTCTTCTTGGACCCACCCTTTTGCATTAAGGGGTGAGCACTAGGAAAATCACGAAGGATTTGAGCGTATGCTAGAGTATTGTACACGATTCCTGATTGAATGTGATCTCTTAGACTAGCCATGCTGAGGTGTGTTTTCTCATGAAAAGACGGGACCATTAGCCGTTTGGTCCCGTCTTTTCATGGGTCGTCTTCGTCGTACCGTTGTAGGGTAAAATTACGAATAGAGTGGCGAAAACTAGCGCATCCGCCTTGAAACTTAGGGTAACATAGCACGGTCGACTGTGCACCCTTTCACTATTAGAATCACGTTAAAATCCATGGGTCTCATCACGGTGCAGCAGTCGAAGAATCCTCGGCTGGTGGGGAAAAATATCCGGGTTGAGGTCTGGTGAGGAAGAGGGTAACTCTAGTGCTACGTACTCATGCTCTCCAAGCCATTCCAAGCCTAGGCGGGTCAAACGGCTTGGAATGGCTTGGAGAGCATGAGTATGTTGCGTTGTAGTGACCCTTTCCCTTACAATACCTCACCTCAAGCATTCATCTCGAACAGTCGTGACTTCTTCAACTGCTGCACCGTGACGAGACCTGCGGATCCTAGAGTGATTCTAATAGTGCAAGGGTGTACAATTGACCGTGCTACGTTACCCTCAGATTCACGGCGTATACGCTAGTTTTATCTACTCTTTTCGTGGTTTCACCCTACAGCGGTACGACGGAGACGACCCATGAAAAGACGCGACCAATCGGCTAATGGCATCTTTGGTCACACTTCAGCATGGTAGGACTATGAGATCACATTCAATCAGAAAGCACGCAAATTTCTTTTGCATACACTAAAATCCTTCGTGATTTTCCTAGTGCTCACCCCCTTATGCAAAAGTGTGGGTCCAGGAAGAGTGCGAGAAGCTCCCTTCAAAGGTTTGCACTAACCTCGTAGACAACATGCCTAGGAGGGTGCGGGTGGTGATCAAGGCTAAGGGTCGGTGGACTAGGTACTAGGAACGTTGTTTGGAAGTTTGCTCTTTGTCCTGGGAAACAATTGTCCAGATGTACTCTTTTGATATCTTTTGGCACTAAGCTAGATCCAGTGTACTATTATGGATTATAGCACTATGAACACATCCACTATGTGCCCCTCCCAAAGCATGCCACCATTAAATATTAAGACTATATGTACAGTGGTCGGAATGCCCAAAAACCCTAGTTAGTGCAAAACATCCAGACAATTGTTTCCGTCACTATATAAAGTTCAACCCCTTAGGCTATATACCCTTGTACCACCTCATCCTAGTCAATAGTTTCTATTCTAAGATAGTATCAGAGCTAGGTTACGACCCCAGGTCCTCCTACCTCGCTCACGTCCGTGCCTCTGGCACAGACAAGCTCACTGCCCGCACTGTCTCGTGTGTCTTCCTTGGTTTCCCCCTCGACGCGTCTGACACGCACTTTTACCACCCGCCGTCTCACAATTTCTTTCACTCGCGTGACGTCACATTTGACAAGTCTGTCTCCTTCTACCACCACTTTCCCCACCAAGGTCTCCCGGTTTCCCCGACCTTGTTTCTAGTTTCCACTTCCCCAGTAGCCCGTACTCCTCTCCCTCCACGTCCTGCCCCGTCTGGTGTGTCTCACGTCACTCCCCTCCCGTCAGTTGTCTAGGTCGAAGAGTCGGCTGACTCTAATGGTCCCGTGGCGCCGTTCTCGTCGCCTGTCTCCACCCCGGTATCTCCTCCTCCGCCGTCGCAGCATCAGCAGCAGCCGTCCGTGAGCTCTGGGGGTGTGGGCATTGAGGAGGGTGCTAGTCCGTAGGTTCCTGACGTGGCTTGTCCCGGCGGTCCTGGGGGTGGCACCAGTGCTGGAGAGGTTTCTCGTTATGGGGGTGCTGTTTCTGGGGGTGCTAGTCTTGGGGTTACTGTCGTGGCTTGTCCCGTTGGTCCTGGGGGTGGCACTGGTGTTGGAGAGGGTTCTCGCTCTGGGGGTGTTCATGTGGAGTGTCCCGGAGATAATAGTGGTGCAGCTAGAGGTTCAAGTGTCAGCGTGGAGCAGCAGCAGCAGCAAAAGTCACCACCGGTGTCCACCCTTTGCCTTCTCGGTCTTCCCTTCCCTGACCACCCGCCTGCGCCTCCCCGGCCTGTCCCCGGCCGTGTCTTTCCTCTGCCAAACTCGTCTCCGACTCGTCTCTCCCCCCGTTCTCCTCCTGTGTCTCCTCCTGTGTCTCCTCCTGTGTCTTCTCCTATGTCTCCTCCTGTGTCTCCTCCTGTGTCTCCTGAGCCGACGCCTCCGTCCCACTTCTAGTCTCTTCGTCCCTCTCGTGCTCGTCCTGTCTCCCCTATTCCGCGCTCTCACCCTATGTTGCTTCGTTCCCACGCGTCTCGTCCTCCTCTCCTCCCGTCGCCTCCTCCATCGTCGCTTGTCGTCGCTCCGCCTCTTGTGTCTGACTACCTTTGTACCACTAGTCCACTTATTCCTCGGGTCCTTGCCTCCCTCGTTACCGACCCGTATGTTCCTTTCTCGAGTCTTGACGCGCTTGTAGCTGCCGTCACTGACTTTGCCTCTATGCGCTGCCTTGACGACGCCACCGCTCTGGTCTTTGACCATGTCCATCCTCCGTCCGTCGAGGGTGCTCCTGCCCTTGGCAGTGACGCCTTGGAGGACCGATAGTAAGAGCTTGCTTTCCTGTTCGACGCGGAGATGGGATCTTAGAGATCCACCGGCACCTACGTCGACGCAGTTCCCCCACGTGGGGTGAATGTAATCGATGGTTGGTGGCTCTTCAAGGTAAAGCGCCCTCCTGGAGAGCCGCAGGTGTTCAAGGCACCCTACGTTGCTAGAAGTTTCAGTCAGCGCGAGGGTGTTGACTTCTTCCAGAACTCCGCCCCGACCTCGAATTTGACTACTCTCCGAGCGCTGCTATACGTAGCAGCACAGCGTAACTACGAGCTGCACTCTCTCGACTTCTCGAAAGCTTTTCTTCAGGGCAGTCTGCACGAGCTGGTCTACATGCGTCGCCCGTCAGGCTTCACTTGCACCTTTGCCCCCGGGACCAGTGGCTCCTCCGGCATCCGGTTTACGGCATGCGGCAGGCACCGTGCGAGTGGCACGACACGCTTCGTACTACGTTAGCTGACCTGCAATTCTTCTCATTGTCTGCAGACCCCTCGCTTTTCGTTCGTGTTGGCCAGACCACGTTCTACATCCTAGTATACGTATACGACCTGGTCTTTGCTACTGCAGATAGAGACGCACTGGCCTCCGTGAAGGCTGAGCTGCTGAGAAGACACACCTGCACTGACCTAGGAGAGCTGCGCCACTACCTTGGCTTGCAGATCTCCAGGGACAGAGCAGCGCACACAATCACTCTCACACAGGCACACTTGGTGCGCCAGGTCCTTCAGAGGTTCGGTAAGCAGTTCTCCTCCGCACAGCCCACACATCTGCCAGTAGATCACATGCTCTCAACTCAAATCCCAGAGGAGTCTGTAGAGCCTAGTGGTCCTTACGCAGAGCTGGTGGGTTGCCTCATGTACCTGGTGACTTGCAGTCGTCCAGTTCTTGCATACCCTCTCTGCATCCTGGTTCGCTTTGTGGCCACAGGCAGACACCGACCACAACACTGGTCGACCGCTAAAAGGGTTTTGCGTTATCTAGCAAGTACATTGGGCATGGGGCTAGAGCTAGGAGGACGCGGGCCAATGGTCCTTACAGGGCACATCGACGCTTCATGGGCAGACGACGCTGAGACGATGTGGTCCTCCCAGGGCTACTCTTTTAGCCTTGGTGCAGGCGCTATCCCGTGGAGGTCCATCCACTCGTCGTCTACTGCTCAGTCTAGCTGTGAGACTGAAATCTACGCTGGTGCCATGGCAGCATAAGAGCTCCGCTGGCTGACTTTCTTGCTTATAAACTTAGGTAAGCGGTCTAGCTCTGCCCCGGTCCTGTACGCTAACAATAGGGTCATGATCCTCCTGTATTAGGAGCCTCGACTTGAGCGCAGAGCAAAGCATATTTAACTGCGGTACTTCCTCCTGCGCGAGCTACAGTAGTGCAGCCAGGCCCGCGTAGTTCATTTGGCCTCCGGTGCCAACACAGCTGATATCTTTACGAAGGCGCTTGCACCTAAAGATCATCATCGGCACTGTTTAGAGCTTGGTCTAGTTTCAGTAGCTTCTCACTTGCTAGGACCTTGACTGTGTACTACCCCTTATATTTACTTGACTGGCCTTGTGGCTCTTGTTCTAGTGGCTGGGCTAGTTGTTCCGCGCTAGGTTACTCTTGTTTCTTTTGTACTCTTGCTGACCCTTGCCTCAGAGGTTGGACTAGTAGTGCCACCCTGAGCTGCATGTCTCGTGCTAGTCCCTGCCCCTTGTCTAGCCTGGGGGGTGTGTCAACATATAATTTGTATATGTAATAGGCTAGCTAGGTGCATGCTCATATAGAGTACAACCCCTTAGGCTACATACCCTTGTACCTCCTCATCCTAGTCAATCGTTTCTATACTAAGAATCTCCTCCCCTCAGGTTCGGGGGGGGACGCATTCGGGACTGTCTTAGTTCAATTTTGTTTGGGGAAATGGGTTTTTTTCCGCACGCTCTTTTGGCATGATGTTTTTGGTGTGTCGGACTTGATGTCAATTTTTTGTGGGATGGGGTTGCTTATATGAAAGCGCCCCTTTCCGTGCTTGCACTCCCTGTTTTCTCTCGTTGCCAAGCGTTGCTCTGCCCTCGCTTGCGACGCCTGGTCCATTCGTCCCTCTCCCGTCTTCACTTTCTGCTTCGCAGCACCCTCGCGACATTCGCCACCCCGACCAAGAATCAAAGTCTTTGAATCTTGGTCTTACTTAGGACGACGAAACTTGAAACGAAAGTTCTGCAATTTGGGTTATTGGCTTTAACTAGTTTGCCTTTGATGTATTTTCCTGGATATAGCATTTCTCTTTGTAAACTTCAACGAATTCCTCATGTGCCAAATTGGGCCCCACTGCCAGCACAACGGCGTGCATCACTAACGAGGAAGAATTTCTAACGAGCCACGCTGAACTCTTCTGTCCGCTCTCCCCGCCCGCCACATCTCCTCCGCTCTACCCCTGCGCGCGCCGCTGGCGTCTCGTGCCGGCACTCTAGGCATTCGCCATTTCTCCATCGCAATGCTTCTCCGCGCCCTCCCCTTGCCGCCCTCCGCTCCGCGGATCCCCCGCCCTTCCGCCGCCCTAACATCCCGCCCCATGGAGGTCAGTCTTCCCCATGCCAACGCCTGCGCCGTCCCGTGCGCGGCGATGGCGGAGGGCCGCGGAGCGGAGCCCGCGGAGAGGAGAGGCGGCGGACTGGTTGGGGGGACAGCAGGCAGCCGCGGGTGGCGGGGAGCAGGCATGGCGCTCCGAGCGCGAGGTAAGGGGTAGAGGACGGGGGGAATGCGAAGGCAGGAAAGGCAGAGGGGGCAGGAGGCTTGGAATGGCTGCGCGCACATGTTTCCATGAATCGGCGCGCTGTGTGCACCAATGTCTCCGCACACCACCATGCGTGCTGCTGCCATGCGGCGTGGCGTGGCGTGGCGTGGCGTGGCGTGTGATTGCATGTGCGGCGCCGGCTCATGTGGGTGCATTGTGGGGGGATGTTTGGGATGGCATGTGCAGGTGAGAGCGCAGCGAGCTGTGCTGCGTGGGACAGCAACAGCAGCAGCAGCAGCAGAGCGCCAGCCATCAATGCGCCCAACGCCGTGCCTCACAGCAGCACCAGCACGAGCAGCAGCAAGGAGGGCGGCGTGGGGGAGGGCGGCAGCGGGGGCGGGGGCGTGGTGGTGCTGTTTGACGTGATGGACACGCTCGTGCGCGACCCCTTCTACCACCACATCCCACGCTTCTTCAAGTACTCGCCCTCCGCCCTCTCCCCCCGCTGCCCTCGCTGCCCCCGCTGCCCCCGCTGCCCTCGCTGCCCTCGTTGCCCTCGTTGCCCCCGCTGCCCTCGCTGCCCTCGCTGCCCCCGCTGCCCCCGCTGCCCTCTCTGCCCTCCTGGCCTCGCCCCTCGTGCCCTGCGCCTGTCAGCCCTTCTTCTGTGCTGTCACACCTGCTGCTGTCCTCCCTCCCTCAGCTTCATGCGCTGGGGGCACTGCTCCTAGACGCCCTTGTGCCTAACCTCGTCCCACCCTGCCGTCCTAACATAGCCTCCCTCCCCCCTCCATCGCATCCCCTCTCCACCTCACCCTCTCACTTGCGAACACTCTCAGCTGCTCCTTTCTCCCGCACACCCATCCTACCTCTGCTGCTGCTAATCTTTCTCTCCCCCCCCTCTCTCTCCCTCGTCCTATCTCTCTCTTTCTCACTCCCCCCCACCCCCCATCTCCCCCTCCCCTCCCTCGGGGCAGCATGAGTATGGCGGAGTTGCTGCAGCAGAAGCACCCGACGGCGTGGGTGGAGTTTGAGTGCGGGCGCATCTCGGAGGCGCAGCTGCACCAGCACTTCTTCGCCGACAGCCGCCAGTTCGACATCCAAGGCACGCCCAACCGCCTCACCTTCGACTTGCATGCCACCCCATTTCACGCACCCACAGCGGAGGGAGGGAGGAAGGGAGGGAGTGGCGGGGGGTGGGAGAAGTGCGGTGTGGCTGTCGCCCTCCATGCTGCTGCTCCCCCACCTTGTTGTTCCCCCGCTGCTTATCACCCTCATTGCACTGCTGTGCCATGTGCCATGGCTGTTCATCGCCCTCACAGCCTGACGTGCCTCGTGTGTGGTGCATGCATGTGGTGGTGGCAGGGCTGAAGGCCACCATGCAAGAGGCGTACGAGTGGGTGGACGGCATGGAGCCCATGCTCGCTGCACTCAACGCTCATGGCATCGCCACACATGCCTTCACCAACTACCCCCTCTGGTACCCGCCCTCACCTCCCACCTCCCCCCAACTCCCTCTCTCCATCCTCTCCCTCCCTCCTTCCCTCGCTTCGCACCTGCCCAGTTCCTGTTGTCTCTTTCCGGCTTTTGCGCTCTCTCCCTCGTGATCACCCTCCCTTCCCTCCCTTCCACACCTCCCACTCCCTTTCCGCCTTCCCTCACCCCGCCGGTTCCAGTACCATGCATCCATGCACCTTCAACTCTGGACCCTAGACCCGCGACCCTAGCACCCATCCTGTTTCTCTGCCCCGATGTAATGCCTGTGCTGCACATTCACCAGCTCCTTCCAATGAGCTCCCCTTGTGTGCTCTCTGTTCCACCCTCAGCGACCATGTGCTGTATGCATGCATCCCATGTCAAATGGTTTCCTGCAAATGATTATGGCGAATGAGTCCCACCCTCTGATGGGTCCCCACTCCTGCATTGCTTCCCACCGACCTGTGAAGAGGCCTCTTGCAAGCGACCCTGTATGGCCTGTGTGGCACATGGCATGGCCGCCCTGTGCACCCGTGTGTGTGTGGGTGTGTGTGTGTGAGCAGGTACCACATGATCGAGGACAAGCTGCGCCTCTCGCGCTACCTGCAATGGACCTTCGTCTCCTGCCACATGGGTGCGTGCCTTGGGGCGTGTGCCATGCTGCATGCATGGGTGCCCCTTGGTGCTCTGGAATCACATGGCATCTCATCCTTCACTGCTTGAACTCCCAGCACACATTGACTAGCCCAATCTCCCGCCATGCACTTGCCATGCCAATGATCACTCACTCGCCATTCGCATCATCCATGCATGCACAGGAGTGCGCAAGCCCTCCCCTGAGGCGTACAAAGCAGCGCTGGCTACCCTGGCGGTTGACCCCTCCGCATGCATCTTCATTGACGACAGGCAAGCCACCACCACCCCACCGCCTCCCACACCCCTCCTAGCTCCCTTCCCCATTTCCTCAGCTCTCTCCCTTGCTCCTCTGCTGCTGATCATCCCTCTCCCGCGCTTTCCTCCAGTGCCCCCCCCCCTTCCACCACCATTGCCTTCTCGTTCTAATGCATTTGTACCATATGGATATACGGTACGGTACTTATGTTTCTTTCTCTTGCACAAACGAAGTCTGTTTCCACTTCTGTTATTTGGAATTGATACTTGACCTTCCAGGGAGTCAAATGTAGCAGCAGCACGGGGGGTGGGCATGGCAGGTATAACATTCCAGTCCGCCAAGCAGCTAGCAGCCGAACTGTCACCTCTCCTTAATATTCCACTCTGAAATTTTGTTAAACATTTTTGTTCTCAGAAAAATTGTCTTGAAAAATACTGCTCACATCACGTCCTACTTGCCTTATGGCTAAGCCACCAAACGCGTTTATTCCGTGTAAACAATCCTCCTCTAACCCTACCAAATCACTAAATAAAAAAAAAGCTTCACTAGAGTATACGAGCATCAGTTGCGGCCAAGCACCCACGACTTATTTCCCAGCCACTTCCAAGGTAGGCCGTCGCTACTTCCTCCCGACCCTCGTGTAATACACAACGCACCGACGGTCCTGCGGGGGTTGGGAGGGACGCGAGGATGTGGAGACGGGGGGGAAAGACACAATTATTCATGGAGCGCGATTCGGCGTGCGAGAAAAGAATGCTTCGGCGTGCGAGGCGGAAGGGGAAAGCGGGGGTGCAGCGAGAGGCACGGCGATATGCAATGGTGCCCGGGACAAGCGAGAAGCGACGTGCACAACTTCTCATAGTGGGATGCCAGCGTCGGGCGCGGATTCGATTTAGGGCGCAGCATCGGCGCATGAGAAGGGGTGCATGGAGCGGCGGAGCATGGAGTGGGAGAGCGTGGGGCGGGAGAGCATGGTGCATGGGCGTGTGGAGTGGAGCCACGGCACTGACCTCGGGGAAGCCCTTCTTGTTATCGTTGGGGTTGAGCCAGCCCATCTGGTTGATCTGCAGGTTGTCCATGTACAGCAGGATGCACGCCCCCTGGTATTGCTGCTCGCACCCGCGCGCCACGCAACCACACACGCACACACGCAGGCGGAAGGTAACACGGATTAGGAAGACACCGAGGCAATACCGACGGAGCTACGGCCGACCGAGAGTACTGAGGCAAAACGACGAAACGAAGCGCGAGGCGAAACGAAGTGAGAGGCGGAATGGTTGCGCGAGGGCGCGGGAGGGCGGGCGGGGCTTACGGGCATGTTTTCGGGCGTGATGGGGTGCGCGGCAAGGCGGTTGGCGCGGTTGACGTAGAGCGGGCCGGGGCGGACGTTGCGGAAGAAGAACGTCGGACTGCACTTGGGGCCCACCTGCTCGCCACGCGGGCAGCACACAGCAGGCGCGGACGGAAAAATGAGATCGTGCTCTCAGCGAAAAGGAATTAGGATGGAGGAAAGGGCAGCGAAGAATAAGACGAGAACAGAACGGCGATGCAGAATAGAGAGCAGTGGCGCAGCGGGCGGAAAGGAAGGTACGATAAGGAGACGACGGGATGGGCTAGCGACAGTACCTGGCAGCTGCGGTTGCCGTTATTGTTGGCGGTGATCACGGGCCACCCCTTCCTGCACGCCGCAACACACCAACCAGCGCATCATCAAGCCAAGAAGATCGAGAAGAGATCGCACCATAAAGGGCAAGGAAACGGCGAGGAGCAGAAAAAAAAAACGAACATGCGCAGGGACGAGTGGCAAGGCGTGGCCGGCGGGGCGGGGCGCGCACCTGTGCAGGATGGGCGGGCTGAGCAGCTGGTTGACCTGGCGCTTCGACAGCACGAACATGGGCGGCTTGGCGCGGAAGCCCTGGAAGAAGAAGTCGCAGCTCTCGAACGTCGACGAGCACTGCGCGTCCGCCACGGCCGCCAGGGCTGCAAGCACACGGCAGATGGCAAGAGATCCACAGGGTTAGATTCGGTGGGATGGGCTAGCATAGCGGCGTACTGCAGTGCGGAACGGTGACGAGTACCTAGGAGAGCGAGTGCTGAGAGGAGAATGGCGTGACGGGTCCCCATAGCTGCGAGGGGCCAGCAGGAAAATCAGTTGGCTTGGTGAAGGGAGGAAAACTAGACAGGTGCGATTGTGGTGGGAGGATGCGATGAGCAGCGAGCAGGGAAGGAGGATTGTTTTGGAGGCTCTGGAGGTGCTTTTGGCGGCCAGACATTTGGGTTGATGTTTTCGCAAATGGGGTTTGCAAATGCGGTGCGCGTGGATGTGCGACTCGAGAGAACGGTGTGCTGGATGTGTTCTGGAGTCTGGAACGACGACGGCTGTGCGTCGTGTGCGATTCGTAACGAACATCAATGCGATTCCGCGAATGAAGGTGATGCTCGATTGACAGGCGAGGGTCAAGGAGTTGTCGGCGTGCCTGACAGGTTGAGAACCGCGACCCGGAGACAGCAAATTGGAGACGCCGGTAGCAACATGGTGTCCATTGACGCACGCATCCGCCCGTCCATAATCCTCCGACCACACAACTGACGGCCGACTGGTGACCCGGGCAGGCCTTCACGTCCAGAGGTTACACGGACGCCGACGATGAGCGATTCCTTCGCACGTCGCATGTCAGTGTGTGCCCACCGTGGATCGCGTGGCATGCAGATGAATGGAACCTCACTACAGGGTTGCTTTCCATCCTGATAAAAAAACAGCGTGCTGTTCAATCACACATTCCGCCTGTACTAATATTTGCAGAAGAAAAAGCTTCACTAGGACCACCATTCACACAAATGCTTAAAACAGACTCAGAAGGTAGGATGTACAATAAACCCAATGCATTTCCCTACTTAATTGTACAGGTCATCATCATCTGCGGCAGCATCAGCTGTACCCCCTGCTGCAGCCGGGGTGGCGGAAGCAGGACGATCTGGAAAGCGGAAATCCGTGCCAAACCCACGAGATTGCTGCAGCGTCTGCGCAAATGCCTGATACCTATGAGAGGGCAAGGGAGGCAGGCAAAAATGTTGATTAAACAGAAACAAAATACCATGCAAACATGACGAAAGTACTGAAATAACTTCGTGAAGGCATAACGAACAGCCAACTGAGGAAGCAGCGAGGACTGCGGCAGGCAGCAGGCAGGCAGCAGGAGCAGCAGCACGTACTTGCGGATGTCAGCATCACTGACGGAGCGGCGAGCAAACTTCATGGCCTCCTCAAAGTGCGCTGCCGTGATCTCCGCCACCTCCTCCGCCTCATCCTCCTCCATCGCCTCTGGGTTGGCCGCCCGCCTCTTCTCCCTCTCTATGTCCTGCCCACGCCGAACACACATACGACGTATGAGACGCAACCCATACATGCACAAACGAAAAAAAATGAAGCACGAGCACGGAGTGATGATGCTTGCAACACCGTAAGCAACCATGCCCACCCCCAAGATCCTTATGACCAAATCAGAACTACCCACATGCCCAGCAGCACAATAACCTCCCAGCACCAACCCCACCTTCTCAATGTTTTCCCGGATGGCGTATTTGCAGGCGCGCTGGCAAATCTCAGTGATATCAGCACCGCTGAAGCCATGCGTGTAGCGCGCGAGTGCGGTGAGGTCCACCTCCTTGGCGAGGGGCGACTTGCGAAGCACGGCCTCGAAGATCTTGAGGCGAGACGCCTCGTCGGGCAGCGGGATGTAGATGAGCTGGTCCAGGCGGCCCGGGCGCAGCAGCGCGGGGTCGATGATGTCGGGGCGGTTGGTGGCGCCGATGATGAAGACCGTCTTCTTGGCGTTCATGCCGTCCATCTCCGTCAGCAGCTGGTTCAACACCCGGTCCGCTGCTCCGCCCGCATCACCCACACTGCTGCCACGCTGCCAGGGGGGAGAGGGAGGGGTGGGGCGGATGAGAGAGAGCAGATACAGTGAGAGAGAGATAATGTCATACATGAGCCAAGCTTCCCAAGCCTTCCTCCAAGGTTTCCGCCCTTCCCCCGAGCCTCCCGCCTCGATCTTCAACCAAGCTTCCCAACTCTTCCACAAATCTTTCTGCTTCTTCTCCTGAGCTTTCCCCATGCTTCCAAGAGCGACAGGAAGCTAGGGGGACAGGGCGGGAACTTGGGTCAAGGGAGGGAAGCTCGTAGGAAGGAGAGGGAAGCTCGGTGAAAGCAGCGGTGTGAGGGCAAACAAGAGAAGAAGAGGCTCAAACGGAGCAGAACCTAACAACCTCTCGTGGTCGCAGGCTACTTGACCCCACACTCACCCACACACCACCCCCTCAACAACAACAACAGAGCCAATAAGGGCAAGGAAACCACAGCAATGGAAGCACCATGATAATCTCTCGCCCCCTCCCACACCCCTTTCATCCCTTGCCCGGGCGTCACCTGAGTGGCGATGGAGTCAAGCTCATCGAAGAAGAGCACGCAGGGCGCGGACTGGCGTGCCTTGTCAAAGATCTCGCGCACGTTGGCCTCGCTCTCGCCGAACCACATGGTGAGCAGCTCGGGGCCCTTCACGCTGATGAAGTTGGCCTGGCACTCGTTTGCTATCGCCTTGGCCAGCAGGGTCTTGCCGCACCCCGGCGGCCCATAGAACAGCACACCCTTGCTGGGCGACATGCCAAACTTCTCAAACTTCTCCGGGTGCTCCACCGGGTATTGCACTGTCTGAGTGGGGGAGTTGGGGGAGGGAGAGATTGGGAGTGGGAGGCGAGAGCGCCAGGGGGCAGGAGAAGGACGAGATGAGGAAAGGAAGCGGGGGAAGGACAGGCTGGTTAAGGACAAAGGGAACGGAAGGGTGGTAGAGAAAGAGTGGAGCACGGTGTCTCACCTCCTGCAGCTCCCTCTTGACATTGTCCAGCCCTCCAATGTCGGTCCATGACACGTTGGGCACCTCCACAACCTGCGCACATACACACACATACCTTAATGTGAGAATAGAAAAAGAAGAGCGGTAGCAAATGCGAGGTTGATAGACCTGCCTCACACTCAGTGCTACAGGGTAACCCGCTCCTGTCTGCTAGAGACCTAACCCCCCAGCCTCCAACCACGCCCTTCTATCCACAGCATCCCCCACAGATCCCACTACAACCGCAGTGCGTGCAGCAACACTGACCGTTTCCCTGAGCGCGGAGGGGTTGGAGATGCCGAGCGCGGTGGCGAAGTGGTCGTTGGAGACGGCCATGGAGTTGAGAACCTCGGCGTCGATGCTGTCGTCCTCCAGGTCGATCACGTCCATCTTCTCCCGAATGCACTGCAGCGCCGCCTCCGTGCACAGCGCCGCCAGATCCGCGCCCACAAACCCGTGCGTGTTTGACGAGATCTTCTCCAGGTCCACCTGCGGCGAGGCAGACGGGGGTGCGGGAGAGGGTAGGGCGGGAGAGAGGGTAGGGCGGTGGAAGAAGATGGCGGGAGAAGGGGGCACGATGAGATGTGAACCATCCAATCCACGTCCACCGGATGGGGGCAGGGGGAAGAGCAAGGCGAAAGGTGGGGGGGGAAGAGGGGGGGGAAGAGGGGGGGGAAGAGGAGATTGGGCAGAGGGCATATGTGGTGGCAGGGAGGAGGCACAGCCGGAAGGGTTATGGAGGAACGAGGCAGGAGAAGAGAGGAGCAGCATTAAGGTGGGGGGGGGGAGAAAGGGGAGGGTGGCAAGGAATGACGTGACTGAGGAGCAAGGGAGCATGCGAACAAACGAGGCACACTGGGCGGAAGTGGGGTGAAGGGGCGAGTGCGGGAGGGCAAACACAAGGGAGCCCGTGAGAGGGCTTCAGAGCGTGCACATATCGACCACCACCCCATGCTCATCCCACAAAAACCACACGCCCACCAAACAAAACAGGCCTATCCCCGTGCACCCGTCCTCCCTTCCCGTCCCTTCTCTTTCCCTCCTCTTCCATCCCCTCCCTTCCCCTCCCATCCTTCTCCCTGCAACCCACCCTTTCCCCCTCCCCCTCCCACCCCTCCCACCCCCCAACCTGCTCATCCCCCCTGTGCACGTACGTCTTCCGCGAGCTTCATGTTCTTGGTGTGGATGCGCAGCACCTCCAGCCGCCCCACCTCGTCCGGCACGCCGATGTCGATCTCGCGGTCGAACCGCCCGAACCGCCTCAGCGCGGGGTCAATGCTATTAGGCCGGTTCGTCGCCCCCATCACGATGACGTGCGCGCGCGACTTGAGTCCGTCCATGAGCGTCAGCAGCTGCGACACGATGCGCCGCTCCACCTCGCCGTGCGTCTTCTCCCTCTTGGGCGCGATCGAGTCGATCTCGTCAATGAAGATGATCGCGGGGGCGTTCTTCTCCGCCTCCTCAAACGCCTTCCGCAGGTTGCTCTCGCTCTCGCCCGCCAGCTTCGACATAATCTCCGGCCCGTTGATGAGAAAGAAAAACGCACCCGTCTCATTCGCCACCGCGCGCGCGATCAGCGTCTTGCCGGACCCCGGCGGGCCGAAGAGCAGAATCCCCTTGGGCGGCTTCACTCCAATGGACTTAAACAGCTGCGGGTGGCGCAGGGGGAGCTCCACGAGCTCGCGGATCTGCGCCATCTGCTTGCGCACGCCGCCCACGTCGTCGTAGCCCACCTCGTCCAGGCGCTCCTCGTCCTCGCGCTTGATGGGCTCGCCCTCGCAGAAGATCTCCGTGTCCGGCGCCACTATGCAGTACTCCGCCGGGTCCGTCTCCACTATCTTGAACTCCACGCTGCGCATGCCACCGCGCACCAGGAACAGGTCGCCCTTGCGCACCGGACGGTACGCCTCGAGGAAATACGCTGGTATGGGGGAAGCGTGGCGGGAGGAAGCGGGGAGGGGGGAAGGGGGAAGGGGGGAAGGGGGGAGGGGGGGAGGGGAAACGATGGTGGTGGTGTAGGTAGGAGGTGCGGCAGGGGGTGGTGCAAGGGGATGGACGGGGTTGAGGCAACGGAAAACGGGGGGACGACGCGGGGATGGGAAGAGGCAACGGAAGAAGCAAGAGAGTGCGGGCAGTGAAGACGTGGCAGAGCAGGGAGTGAGGGTGGGGGAGGCATGGTCACTACACACGAGTAACGTTCCTTGCACGAATCCCCTCGCTCCCCCCTCCCACCCTTCCTACCCTCTCTCCCAAACCAAACCCCCACCCCTTTCCTCAATCCCCAAACCCGCACAGCCGGAGTAAGTCAAGAGTAGCGCACGTTTGAGGTATGCGTCGAAGAGGTTGCCGGAGACGCCCTCGACGGAGTCGTCGATGGGCAGCACGTGGATGCGCTTGCCGTACTTGA